GCGGGGTGCTGGTATCCCTGCTGGCGCAGCCGTCGCTCCCACGGGCGAGGCGAGCGGGATTTCATCAGGCGTCACAGCCTAACGCCGATGTTTACCTTCAGCCGGTGGCCATCGGTGCGTGGCCGCCGTTCAGCTCCACCACACACGTCCTCAGCTCCACCAGCCCAGAGCGCCTGGTGCAGAGACCCCCGTGTTCAGTTTTGCCTGGAATTCAACAGATTTGGGATCAGGGTTGCAGCCTGGTCTGGGGGTTTATCCCAGGATGGGGGAGGGGGTTTCTCCTCCTGGATTTGCTCTCTCTCCGCTGCACTGCATGGTCCTTGCCCAGCCTGGGAGCGTGTGGGTGCATGGCCCAAAGGTGCTCCAGCACCTCAGCCCCGTGGGCTTCAGGCTCATATTTGCTTAACACTGGTGGGGTTGGTTAAATGAGCTCCTCTAAATTCGACAAGAAAATCTGAGCGGATATAAGCTGGGTGTCAGAGTGTCACTGAAAGTGGGTGCAACCCTTTGTTTTCACTAAATCTGCATAAAATCGTGCTTTTACGTGCTGTGGCTCTGTGTAAATCCTGCTCCTGACCGACTCAACAGAGATCGGAGGTAATCCTCATTTTAGCTGAATTACGTGTCTGGACGCCTCTCTCCATCCTGGACTCAACCACGGCTGCGCAGGCTGCCCGTGCCCCTCCTGCCCTCCCCTGTGCTCTGGGTAAGGAATTCCCAACTTTCCACTGGACCTGGCTGGGACCAGGTAGATGGAGAAGGAAATGAGGAGGAGGAGGAGGCTCCTTCCTCCACTGAGAGCTTCAGCCCTCATCGTGGTGCACAGGCTTCACAGTGGCCTCACTGGGACTGCTCAGCCCCCGGGCATAAAGTGGAGCGGGTGCTTAAAGGCTTGATCCTGAGCCACAGGAGTCGAACGTTTTTCTGCTGACTTGAGGAGGAGCAGGATCCGGCCTCGGGTCCCCGCGGGTTTGGGGCCAGAGGGCTCCGTGCCTCATGCGGTCCTGCCCCAACAAAGGAGAGGGCAGAGAAAAGGGAAGCAAGGGCGGTGAAGTACGGAAAAAAATGAGGAATACTGAAATGGAAGTTGTGCTCATTCAGCTCCCTCAGATGCCCGGGTCTCCAGCATCCATATGCAGCAATCCCTGACAATACCACTCTGCACTTTCTAAAAGAGTAACTACCAGCCTGGGAAACAAACCTGGGAATGGACAAAATTCAGCAGAACGCCGCATCTACAGAGGCTTTAGGAAAAAAGTAACAAGGCAACTGCTAGGCAAAAAAAAAAAAAATTAAAACGTAGAAAATTGACATTTGGAATTGAGCTGGGATGTGCGCTGGAAACGCCGTCGTCTTATCGACAAGGGGGGGACCTGCAGCCCTTTCTTAAACCCCAATGATACAGGCTAATTTATATGCAGTTATTCACGTGTGCAGTAAATTCCAATTATGTTTACAGATGTCTGCTTAACATTTATGGAAAAGGAACCTCAGCATGTCTGAAATGTCCTTATAAGGGTTTGGACTGGGCTATCTTTTTTTCTTTTTTCTCTTTTTTTTTAACCAACACCAATTTAATTATATTTTGCTGATTTAAAAAAAAAAAAAATCCAGCTGAGCTCGCTGATAGAAGGTTTAACATCTAATGCATATATTTTGGTTGTATGACCATTTCAGATATATTTTAACTATATTTTTTTGTTTTCTTATAAAACTCAGGAGTTTACTTGAATTTTTAGACCTGCAAAAAAAAAAAGCAGCAACAAATAAGAACAGTGAAAGACGCACAGGTTCTCGAATGGCTTCCTGTTGTACCTCATTTTTATTCTTTGTCTGGGAATTTCGTTATGTAAAAGCAAAATTTCATCGCCCCCGCGTTGCATGAGCTGTGCTGGCGGACCCGGGGGTGCGACCGTCTCGCCCGTCGCAGGGTGGCCGTTCGCCCTCGGCCGCGGGACGCAGCCTCACGCCCGTCCTCGCTCTTCCCCGCCCAAGGGGG